GAGAAAGGAGGAAAGTTTATGACGCTGAGTAGTGGAGGTGGATCTTGTTATTTTTCCCTGCACTGCAACGAGCAATACTGTTTCACGCAATTTTTTTTTTAAGAAGACACATGCCTTGGAGAAACACGTAAGATTTCCCTCTGCATCTAGGTCATTTTAGTATGTTATATTTGGAATGTTTTCCCCCAATAGTGAATTATTTGTTGTTGTTGTTGTTTTTTAAAGCTAAACTCCACATATAGAAAACTAATATATGAAGGTATCACTATGACACTAAAATTTTGAATTCATTTAGGACCACATATTTGTACAATTGAGCAGAGCTTCATTCTAGAGAATATGTGATTATACATCTTAAGGTATTTGGTGTGTAGTACATGGTCTTATGAATTGCCTATGATGCATATAGACATTTAATTGGCCTTGAAATACCTCAGCTCCATCTAACAGAGGCTGGTTCCTAAACAGAGTCTTCTAGGTACCAATCTTCCTCAGTCATCCATCCAGTCAAGGGGGACTGAATTGTAGTGTGAGTAAAGGATTGACTTTCATCTGTTTTCTTCACTTTAAAACACATAATTTAACTTTTTTCCTGAAATTAAATTACATCTAGGTTTCCTCTGAAACTCACCTCCAGTCATCTTTGGATAAATTTATCAGGACATTCATTTCTTCTTCTTGCATAAGTCGATAAGCTGCACTCACATGGTGATTTTCAAGGACAGAGCGATCATTATACAAAATGGCAACATCTGACCTAAGAATTAAAAACAAAATGCCTAGCAGAGGATTTCTTTAGACCTCACGAATGTCTAATAAAAATACTCAAGTCATAAGACATCTCATCAGTAAAAAAAAAAGTCCTATATTTGAACACCTAAACTCATGGAGGTACTTAGTTTCCCTTCTTTTTTCCCCCTAACTATATGATAGTTAAAAAAAAAAGAAAGATTAGTTTTTTTTAGAGCAGTTTTAGTTTACAGAAAAATTGAGCAGAAGGTACAAAGATCTGCCGTATAACCCCTGGCCCTACACATGCATAACTTCCCCCATTACTAACGTCCTCTACCACAGTGGTACATTTGTTAGAACTGATGAATCTATTTGGACATCATTATCACTCAGAGTCTATAGTTTACAATTAGGGTTTACTCTTGGTGATGTACATTCTATGGGTTTGGACAAATGTCTAATGACATGTATCTATCATTATTGTACCATACAGAGTATTTCCTCTGCTCTAGAATCCTCTGTGATCTGCGATTTATCCTTTACCTTCTATCTCCTCAGCCCCTGTAGCCACTGATCTTTTTATTGTCTTCAAAGTTTTGCCTTTTCCAGAATGTCATCTGGTTGGAATCATAGAGTATGTTGCCTTTTCAGACTGGCTTCTTGTACTTTATAGTATGCATGTAAGCTTCCTGCATGTCTTTTCATGGCTTGATAGCTTGAATCTTTTAAGTACCAAATAATATTTCATTGTCTGGATGTATCACAGTCTATCCATTCACCTACTGAAGGACAGCTTGATTGCTTTTGTGTTTTCACTATTATGAATAAGGCTGCTATAAACAATGGTGTGCAGGTTTTTGTGCAGACATAAGTTTTCAGCTCCTTTGGGTAAATACCAAGGAG